CCCAGCTTTGCTTGTCTGAAAAGCAAAGACCCTTTTTTAGTCAGCTTGGTTCCCCTCCTGTCCTCTGCAGCATCTCTGGGAGCTGAGTTGTGTCAGGTCTCAGCCAGCATGAAGGCAGCTGGGTTGGCCAGCTCCTCGAGTCTGCCTCACTGCTGGATTGTCTGACCTCCCTGCAGACATTTCAGGCCTGTGAAAAGGCATGGAGCAGGGCAGGATCCAAGGAGAGCATCCCAGGCAGCTCAAATATTAAATCAAACAGCTGGGAAAATCCCAGAGAAATAATGTATTGGTCAAGGGAGGAGGCAAACCCCTCATGAACTCCCACCTTGGAGGCAGCTGGAGAATTGGCTGTGACCTGGCTGGGCTGCAGCAGCTGTCAAAATGTGAAGAGGGGGAAGAAGAAGCCCATCTTTTTGACACAGCTTGTCCAATCTCCCACCCTGTGACCAAAGACATAACTTGCTTTTTGGGAGAGAGGAAAATTTAGAAGGCTCCTGGGCATTTTGTTGGTGCTCCCAACTGCAAAGCTGATGGATGGATGGGTGGATGAATGGATGGAATTTTCCTAGAGAAGCCCAGGATCTCAGGGTGTAGGGCTTTCAGCACAACAGTCAGTGGAGCTATGGGCAGCCCACAAGGCAGAGGTGCCTCATTAGGGATGAAGGCTGCCATCCAGAAAGGATAGGGAATGCTGGGATGAAGGACAAAAACTGCCAGGTTGGATGTGTCTGTGAGCTTTTTGGAATGCAAGGAGCTGAAAATATTGCATCTCAGTTGACTAATAAAGAAATCTGTCTTGTTATGCAAAGGCACATTGCAAACATCTGTGGGTTGTGTAGTTCCCAAAAGGGGAAAGAAACTTTTCCCTGATGGAGCAGCTCCTGGGGGAGGATGCACAAGATTTGCAGAGAAATTGGGGGGTGCAGAGTTACAAGCACAAGGAGGGATGGATCTGCAAGGCTCACCTTCCAAAAAAGAGGAAAGGGGAGTAAGAGAAATTATGAAAAGCAGCTGGCAGGAACCAAGGATGATTTTATGGCTTTGCAAAAAATTACCACAGCAATTAAAAGTGTTCTAAGCTCTTTGGAGGAGAAAGAAGGAAAGGAGAGGGAAGTAAAGCCCGGATTGCAGGAAAAGATGCAGAGAGGAATAGCCATTACTCAGAACAGCCATGGTACAGCTGGGGATCTGCTGCAGGGGCACGGGGGCACAAGCAAAGGTTGGTGTGTCAGGAACCAGGGGTACAGATTGGTGGGGAAAACCAGCTGGGCAAGGAGCCTTGGAGGTAAATGATGGGGTCTGTACTTCTGCAGGGTTCTCAAGTGCCAGGAGCTCATCCCTGTGTTCAGAGCTCATCCCTTTGTTCAGAGGGTGGGGGCTTGGAGCCACAGCAAGGCTGAGCTGTCCGCTTGCTCCTGCTGGCATTTTGTTCCTTCTCCATGTTCATCTGAGGATGCACTCAGCTGGCTGAGGAAGAAATGGTGTCCTGTGCTCGGATGTCCTTTGTTGAATGTCTTCTGCAGCATTTTTTACCAGTTACTAGGCATTTGCAGTCCCCCCAGTTAGCAGCCATCTGCATTGATATCTGCATTGAAATCTGTCCTTGCTTTTGTGTTCCAGCCCTGGGGTTTGTGTTACACGCTCAGGGCTTGCAGGTTGCAACCCCCTGCCCTGGGTGAGACCCACTCCAGCAGAATCAGCAAGCACCAGTCTAAGGACATCACCTGAAATGTCACACCCAAGCTGTCTTGATGGAGGTTCCAGCAGATTCCTCCCTGCTGGGCAGGGCTGGGCTGTGACCTGGCCATGGGCTGTGGAGTTTGGTGGCAGCTGCCTGCCCTGCAGTGCCAGCGCACCCTCCTCAGGGACTGCAGCCATGCCAGGCCATCCACAATAGCTGCTTTCAGTCAAATTTCACTGAGGGCCAGAGCTCCCAGAAGACTAAGCTGCTGGAAAATAAGCTTCATTCCTCAGCAGATTTGCCACAGCCTTCAGGAAAGTTCTTGTGTTGGGACTGGGATCTTGTGCCCAGGCCATGCTTGGCACTGGACAGGCACAGGGGGGATGTCTGTGCCTCCAGCTGCCAGCAGCATAGCTGAGGAAAGTGAGGCCCTAGGTGCTGAGAGGGCTTGTCTGGGAATGAGCTGTGGCATTTTTGCAGATCAGCCCATCGTCTGGGACCAACAAGCTTTGGATCCTTCTTCTCAGGGTCTAAAGATGTCCCTTGATCTTTGGTGCTTCCCTGCCCTCACAGCACAATGTCAGCTCCATGAGCGATGGGGTTGGAGAGCCTCCATCCTTAAAGTGCCACCACTCAATCCCCATCACTCCAAAACCCATCAGAGAGGCTGCTGGGGAACCACCAGCACAGAAGTCAGGTAAATACAGGACAAAGCCCACACCAGCCACATCTCTGCCCTGGAGTTATAATATGGTGGGAGTCAATGCACTTTTTGGGAGCCACAAAAAAGCCCCACCACCTCAGTTTCTCACCTGAGTCCATCCAGCTATTCCCACATCACTTCCCCACTGCTCTCAGGCTCCCTGAGATCTGGAGAGCATCAATTTTCCTGTCTCCTTTATGTGCTCTCCTTTCACCGTGCCCTCTTTCCCCATGGAGACGATGCAGGCCAGAGGAGCCCCTGAGGTTTGGCCACCCTTTATGTCTCATTAAGGCTTCACCGTGTCCTTGCAGGACGGTGCGTTGGAGAAGCAAGGGTCTCCATGGGCACAGGGCAGCTGTGCCCGGGGCTGCAGGAGCAAAGGGGCAGTTGGACGAGCCGCAGGTGCCGCTGCCACCCCAGAGGCACGGCCGGCCGGGCGGGCCCTCAGAGGCCCAGCGGGAGGCAGGGTGCGCAGCCTGGGGCTGCCTGGAGACGGGCCCTCCCCTCGCCCAGGTGAGAGGAAGGAAGCGGCAGGGAGAGGAGGAGCTGAGGGTGAGCGCTGCTGCCGGCACACAGCAACCACGGGGGTTTAGTTTTGCCCCGAAGTCGAGGAGGTGCTGAGGCTCAGCAGCTGCCCCGGTAACGGAGAAGGCCCTGTTGGCTTGCAGCGTGCGATGGATGGGAGCGCGGCTGTGGGTGCGGGTGAGGGTGTGGGTGTGGGTGTGGGCAGGGTGTGCTGCTGGCATGGTGTCCCAGGAGCAAAGCACACTGGTGTCAGCGAAGCACCTGGTTTATTTTGGGCGGCCCTTTGGGTCTGGAGGTTAATGTGAGCTGTTGGCAGGGGAGGACTGTCTCCTTCATCCTCCACAAGAGCTGCATGGCGGAGGGCTGTGATCCTGGCAGCTTTGGGGGCTGAGGGCTGGAGATGCTTCATTCCTCTAGAGGATTTATTTCTTGAATATGACTTGAAGACCATTTCTTTTGTCCTGTCTGGCTATTAATGTCTCTCCAAACTATAACCTACCCTTCACCTTCCTGATAGGGCCCGCTCCATCCATGGTGAGGCCGAGGCCTGCAGGGAAAAGCCTCTTTCTCTCCGTTCCCAGCCTTCCTCAAGCTGTCCCAGGTGAGACCCACAGGAAATTAAATTTACTGAGCTGAAAACTGTACCATAGCCATGCAGTCCCCAGCAATGAGATGCTTGGGGAGTGGGCAGCTGCCCATTGAGGCAAGGAGGGACAGCGGCTCTGCAGAGGGGACATGGCCCTGGCACTTGTTTTGCTGTGTGACTGCAGTGTTGTGTAGAGCTCTTGCACCCTGCATTCACCATGAAGGTGGTGCTCAGTCCATCATATCTGGGGATAATTTCCAAGCGCACACCCCAAATCCTATGGGATTTCTCTGCCCAGGACTTTCCCTATGCACTTTTCAGGTCTGTGTCAGTGTATATCTCAACTGGAAGCTCGTAAGTGTTGCCCAGGGAGCATCCAGGTCAGTCTGATCATTCCTCCTCTCCAAATCTGCCCCCATGTGCAGAGAGGAGCTGTCTCCCGTTTGCTGCCAGGTCTTCTGGCAAGGCAGGGAAAGCAGCTGGAGGGCTGCCTGCCCCGGCAGCAATGCCTGGGAAAGCTGGGCTCAGCAGGTTGATGAGAGGCCCCGTGATCTGAGCCCCGCTCACAGCAGAGCTGATGGAACCACCGAAGCTTCGGGAGCTGGCTAGCACTTCCCTGCTGTCATCCTCCAGAGAGGATCTGGGATTTGGGCTTGCTCCTGGCTGCCAGGGAGAGGTGGGGGACAGGGCATGGAGCAGGAACCACATCAGCCTGCTCAGACTGCCTTCCAGGAGGGGTGTCTGGGAATGGGACAGGGCTGAGTTTATGCAAAACGGATCAGAGAGGCTGGATACCTGCAGGGGCAGAGGGCTTGTGGCGTGGCACATGCTTGTCATCATCCCTTTGGGTAAGGAACCAATTTCCCCCAGCTGCCCTTTGGATGAGCGTGCACTGGGTGCTGTGCTGAGAGTCCCTGGGGACACCACACCGTCACCTGGCCGTGCTGCCCAGCACAGGAGTTCTGGCTTGTACAGGAGCCATGTCTGGCCATTTCTGCAATGCCTAAGTGGGATGCCTTTCCTTCTGAGTGGCAAATGTTAGATTTGGACTTTATTGGAAGTGAGTGTGTGGTGTATGGAGCAGCTCGGACTTCCCACCTCTCTGCCATAAGTTGTTTGGGAATTTCTAAGGATAGTGCAGGACAGGAGGTCTCCTGCCAGCCCAATTCTTGTTTGAATGGGATGTTGACAGCTTGACTGCAGTGTTGCTGTGAGGTTGTTATTTGCCCTCTCAAGGAGGAAATGCGATGGTGTATCCCAATGGCAAGGACATCTGTCCTCCATGCTGGATGCAATAACTCATGCTCTGGCTTCTGTCCTGTTTTCTGGTGCCCACAGAGGCCCTGGCTGATCTTCATCAAAGCCCTCAGGTGTTTGCCTCAATTTCTCTAGAGGCTTACCTGTCCCCATGATGGGGCTGTGTTGCAGCCATGGCATGACTCTCCTACACTAAACTCACATTGCCTTTAGTTGCTGCAGTTCTCTTCTCCTACCTAGGTCTATTCGTGTCTCTCACTTGCAGTGTTCAAACCATGAACTATGTGGGGAACCTGGCTGAGAACGTCTTTGTCACGGTGAAGAATCTGTACCATGATCTGAACCCCACCAACCTGTCGGGCTGCATCGATGTGATCGTGGTGAGGCAGCCCGACAACTCCTTCAAGTGCTCCCCATTTCATGTGCGCTTTGGGAAGCTGGGGGTGCTGCACTCCAAGGAGAAGGTGGTAAGTGGTGCCTGCCCTGGGGCTACACTTCCTTCCCAGTGTCTCCAGACCCAGGATCTTCTATAACTCACAGGTTATGGAAAAACTTTGTTTGAGGGGAATGGGAGTCCACAGGAAGGGTTGCCAAGTTTTTGAGGGGATGCCCCCAAATGGAGCCCATCCATTTCCAGGGAGGAATGTGCTCTCCAGGAAAATTGGGAGAGGTCCCTTTCCTCAAAGGCTGTGTAGCTGTCAGCCCTGTGAGCAACCTCAACCCATCCCCTCCATCTGGAAGTGCCCTTGTGCTCCAGTGGATGAGGGGGCTCAGATGGACAGGCTGCTTCTGTCTCTTGCTAGGTTGACATTGAAATCAACGGAGAGCCTGTGGACCTGCGCATGAAGCTGGGAGACAATGGAGAGGCCTTCTTTGTCGAGGAGATGGAGGAGCATAAGGTTGGTTATGAGGAGGTGCTGCATGTCTGTGTCCTGGTGTGACTCCCTGGAAGTGCAGTGTTGAGTTAGAATGACCAGGTTTGGAATGCTGTTCTTCCCCAGAGTGACTCCGTTGTCCCATCTGATGTTTTCTGTGTCTGGAAAGGTTCCTGCTCAAAGGACCTTGCAACCCATGTGGTGGAGCACCCTGAGGGAGTATTAGACCAAATATCTGCATCCCAGATTGGTCTCCATCAATGGGCATGGCTGCTGGCCAGACAGGTGGATATCTTGGAGCTTGGCCTCTCAGGGGATCTTGTGGCAGGGATGAGAATGAGACAGATGCTGTGGCAGGCTGCCTGCTCCAATGGGAAGTGGGATGAGACTAGCTGTGGCTTCCAGAAATCCTGGCAGCTCTTCTCTCAGGCATACTTGTGGTCACTGCTGGCTTGGGCTGGGTTTGGAAGTAGGAAAGGGCTCTGGAGTCAAATCCCATTTGCAGCCTTGCTAATTCTGGTCTTGTGGTGCCATCTTCTGCCTGTCTCTCCTTGCCCATGTTAAGGATGTCTTTAGCTTGTGTCTGGATCACCCTAATATTCTTTTATTCACATGTGGTAGGTACAAATCCTTTCCTTTTAGGCCAGGCCACAAAATCACCCGAGCTGAGGGTTTGGTGGTGTTGAGTGTGCTGTTTCATAGTATGCTTCATAGAGAGAAGGAGCGCTAGGCTGAAAAGGAGTGTGCTGGAGGGAGCTAATGGGCTCTGCCCCATCCCTGTTCCAGGACAGCATCCCCTTCTTCCTCTGCACGTCCCCCATTTGCAAGGACTGGGACTCACAGGATGTTGTTCAACCCTCCTATGGGCTGGAGGTCTCCAGAGCTGGAGTGATCCTGCGCAAGAGGAGGCGACGCAGGAGAAGGCCCAGGAAGAAGGAGATGTTGGACTCGGATTCTGACAGCAGTGATGAGATCAAAAAAGAGCTGCCAGCCCCAAGGTGAGCTGCTTGGTCTGGGCAGGGTTATGCAGTAGGTCAAGCCTGTGGGTTCATTTGGTGATGCCTAGCAGTACTGACACAGGGGGAAAGTGTTTGCAAGTTGGAGCCCAGTCTCCTGTGGAGTAAAAGGCCAGGGGGAATGGTGAAACTGGGCATTACCAGCTCTCTGGAGAGGAGGCTGCTGCTTGAGAGTAGCACAAGTTCCCTCTCTTTCCTCCTTTGCAGTGATGCAGCACAAGTTCCCTCTCTTTCCTCCTTTGCAGTGATGCAGCACGTTCGTCCTTTGCTGATCGCCTTGAAGTAACTGGGTCCTTGCAGCCCCAAGAGATACACCCATACTCCGACGGGGAGAGGCTCGAAGGGAAAAGGTAACAGGCAGAGCCAAGGTGTTCTGCTCAGCTCTGGTGAGGACAGGGCATATGCCCCATGGCAGAGAAGGAGGTATGGAAAAGTGACTTGGAGGTGTGAGGAGAGGAGAGTTCTCCTAGCTTGACTTTCTGTGGCTGGAGAAAAGCTCAGAGACCGCAAGGGACACTTGTGGCTGTGGTCACAGATGTGAGAAGCCTGTGTGCACAGGGCTGTCTGCTGATGAGCTGCTCTGGGCAACTGCTGGCATAGCACTTTGCTTCCTTGGCCCTCAGCTTCCATAAATCTTGGTCCTTTAGGAGTGACAATCTTATAGGGTAGAAGTGACTTTATAGGAAACCAGCCTTACAGGGTTCTTGGCCCTAAATGTCTTGCACTGATAGGAGAGCATGGGGATGCAGTGTAGGTGAGGCCCCACATCACCTTATCTTCCTGCAGCTTCATGCCAAGCCATCAGTCTTCTCCCAGAAGTGATTCTGAACTGGAGATCAAACCACGGGAAAGCTTTTCTCTAGGGGCTGAATCCCGCATGAAGTGGACCTGGGGAAGGCTCCCTCAGGTAAGTCTCTGCTCTTGCTCTTTTGCTGGGAATGGGTGTCCAAAAGACCTGCAGAAAACAGAGGAGGCTGTGGCCAGGCAGCCTTAGGGAAGTTGTCCTCTTCTGTGTGATGCTTTGGGCAACTTCCCACCCTCAAACCTGTTCTTCTGGTTCCCTTGAGGTGAATAAATTGGTGAAAGTTAAACCAGCCAAGTCCACAAAGATCACTGCTGCTGCAGCAACCACCAGCTCTGCAACACGGGTGCCAGTGCATGAGGCAACTCCTCTTGTTGCCACCTCTGAACATCCAGGAAGGGATTCAAGCCCAGCAGAACCTCAGGACATGCCCCATTCCTTGTCTGCCTCTGCAACTGAGCCAACACTTGCATCCCAGGCTGGGAACAGCATCTCCAGGCTGAAGGACATCCTCCGTGCTGTTAGGGTAAAGAGATTTTTGGGGGCCTCCTCAGTCCCACAAGAGAAACAGAAGGGAGATGTGAATGTTGTGCCAGAGGTTCAGCCAGGTGTGGAGCACTTTGAGGGAGCCACTGCTCCAAGGCAGACAGGCTCAGAAAGCCCCACGTCCCAGCTGGAGAGGCAGAGGATGCAAGGTGAGAGGGTCACTGGTGCTAATTGAAGTGGTGCTTGAGCCTGCAGATGTGTCTGACTCAGATGAGTCCCTGGGTTGTCCCTTCAGTGTAATTCCATGACTTCCAGGTGTGGTGTGTTTGCTTTGCCTTCTCTGTGTGCTACCAGCTCCTTTGCTTTGAAGAGACATGCCTTAGGTGTCCACCTTTCAGTGACCACCCAGCTCCCAGGAAGGCTTTTGTGCCTTATTTTCCCTGAAGTCCATCCTTCAATGTCTCTGCTTTTGCATACTTAAAAGATTTTTCAGCAGTACAGGCCATATCTGAATTTCAAGTGTCAGACAGCACCTGGCCTGACTTGTGTCTTCATCCTGAGCTTGCCAAGTCAGGGAAAATCATAGAGAAGCATTTCTGTGCCCTCCTTCACAGTGTATTTAAGGATCATGCTAGTGCAAGTGTCTTGAGGCACTTCTGTTGCTGTTGACTTATTGCAGTTTCTCCAGTAGGACAATGTCTGCCCTGTTTGTATGGTACATGGATGTGAGGAAAATGCTGTTGGTTTTCTTGATAAATGCTGGGGTGATTGGAAAGGTGATTCAACTAAGCTCTCTCTCTTCTGTCTATGCATTGAGGATCCATCAAAAGAAGTCCTCACTTGGGTCCCAGAGCCATTTATCTGGAAGACTTCTCTGATCCGAGCAAGAAGCCAGTGGCTCTCTATTTGGCTCAGAGGTATGAGTTGCCCCAGCTGGCCAAGCTCAGACATTTTTGAGCAATTCCCTGGCACAAAGGATGGAGGCATTGTTTAAAGCTATTCTCTGATGTCACTCCATTTCCTCCCTTGCTGGCAGTGACACAGAACAGAGTTGGAGTTCTGTGACAGACTCCAGCAACCCTCTGTGTGTCCAGCTGCCATCCACCTTGCCTGCCAACAGCCCCATGGACTCTGACTCGATGCCCACAGTTGCTCTGTCACTGTGTGGGGGCCTCAGGGAGCAACAGATCTCTCATGGTAGGTAGGAGGAGAGGGGCAATCTCCAGCCCTGAAATCCTTTCTATCCTCCAATGGCATGACACAGCCTCTATCCCACCAGAAAAGTTCACAGAACACATAGTCTCCTACCAACAGTTTGCTGAGAATCCAAGGCTCATCAGTGACCCAAACCTGGTGATAATGATCAACAAGAAGTGAGTGGCCTACTCTTCCTGCTGCTTCATCCCACAATGGACAGCATGGCCCCTTTGTCCCTGTGGAAACCCTCCTGTAGGAATGTGACTCCATCCCAGAGCATGATTGTACCAAAGTAGTTGTGGGACCTGCCCATGCTGCAGGATGGTAATGTACTCATCCCTCTTGCTTTTTCCAGGTATTACAACTGGGAAGTGGCTGGTCCCATAGTCCTGGCCCTGCAGGCTTTCCAGAGGAACATTCCTGAGGTCAGTGGTACAACACATTTACTGGCTATGATTTTCAGCAGGGCTTGGGCTGAGGAATGACCTCATCCCATATTCTGCCATGTTCACAGAGCATCATCGATGAACTGGTGAAGGAGAAGATGCCCAAGAAAGACAGAAGATACTGGTTCTCCTGGAGGAGGAGAGAATTCCCAACAGAGGAGGTGTGTTTGCAGCAGTGGGTATGACAGCCATGTCCCCAGGGGACAGACATCATTCTGCTGGCTGGCCAGGGTGGGAGCAGGGTCTGGGGAATGGCCTGAGGTTGACTATGAGGACATCCAGGACCTGATGAGGTGACTTCTTAAGGTTGCTACCTGTCCCCTTTGGTCTGTTAATGCCTGAGCAGCAGAGCAGCACCTGGTAATGCAGTAATGTGGAGCTTGTAGTGGTGAGACCTCCTGCTGTGTACCTGTCATGCCAGGTCCCTGGGCACCATATGTGCTTGCTGGTCTCCCTGCCCCACCACAGCATCAGGCTGTGCTTCCTCTTCCATCAGCAGTGTCCCTGTGAAGGCAGGGACTGCAGTAATACCTCTTTTGGCATTCTGTTCCAACTGGAAGACAAGCAAAGCAGCCCATGCTCTTGCTCTTAGCTCTGTGCAAGCACTGCTCAGCAATAACAGAAACAGCTCTGTTATCCAACACTGTGTTGAGCCCAAATCCAGAACACAGCTCCATACCAGTCACTGTAAAGAAAATTAACCAGAACCAGCACACCCCTCTCTGCCTGCAGCAGCAGCCAAGGACAGAGAAAACCAGCCTGGGAACACTGTGGCGTGACCTTGTTCAGCAGAGGTGAGTGCCTCCCTCCCAGGCCATCTTCTGGAGTCTGGATACTCCTGTTCTCCTATGTGACTAATTATTCTTAAGTTTGCCTAATAAAAGAGGGTAGAAAGCTTTTTTAAGACTCTGGCTGACCCCTTCTCTTCTTTGTGTAGGCAGGAGGAACAGGAGTCACCCAATGACAGTGAACCCCAGCACCCTGGGGACATGTTGGAAGTGGAAGCTCCCGCTGAGAAAACTCTGCCCACCTTCAGGAAAACCCTACGGCTCTCCTCTGAACAAATTGTATGTATTTATTCCTCCATCTTCACTGTCCATGTGTGTAGGGGTGAGACAACCCTTAAACAGGGATTTCTCTACTCCTGACCTCATCTTTTCATAGGACATCCAAATATTTTGCCCTTGTTGGCCACCCTGTAGAGTCTTGGCATCTCTGGCCTGGCTGGGTGGCAGTTTTGTCTCTGGCAAGCCTTGGAGTGGTGTGAACTGGTGCTGGTGTAACACTTTTGGTGCCCCTCTGCCCCAGGGAAAGTTGAATCTGCAGGATGGTCCCAATGAGGTGGCATTCAGCGTGACAACTCAGTACCAGGGTACGTGCCGCTGTGAGGCCACCATCTACCTGTGGAACTGGAACGAAAAAGTGGTGATCTCAGACATCGATGGCACCATCACCAAGTAAAAGGATTTTCTCCCACCCCAAATCCTTGTTTTCCCCTGTTAGGGGAAAGTCTCCTTTAAAGGCTTGCATAAGCAGGAGAAGGGAGCACAAACGCGACTGGGGTGGGGGTGGACAGTCACCACGTTGGATGACACTAACCCAGCCTCCTTTCCTTTGAGATCCGATGCTCTTGGACAGATCTTGCCACAACTGGGTAAAGATTGGACTCATCCTGGGATTGTTAAACTCTTCCACAAAATCCACGAGTAGGTATTAGGTCAGCTGAGTTCAAGGGGAAGTGGGAAGCTGATTGAGTCAGAGTCAGGGCTTCTTACTCGCTGATGCAGGCCCAGATCTGCTGTCAGTGGTGGCTGATGCTGGCTGCGCTGCCTACACGATGTTGAGGGGTGAAAGCAGAGGGTCCCCTGGGAGCAGATGCTGGCATTACCTTCCCTGGAAGGAGTGTGTGTCAGAGGAGGCTTTGCTGGGGACATATAGCTGAATAGCAGAGGAGACAAGACCACCTAAGGTCACACCTGAGAGAGGTGGCACGGGGGTCCCCAGCACCGCGGTGCTGGTACCTCTCTGGGCACCCAGCGATCGCTTCCCACAGCCCAGGGGACTCACCTGCAAGTGGTGACACCAGCAATGAGTCTCTGCAGAGCCTCTAGCTTGGTGCCTGGCTCCTGTGGCCACTGAGAGGCACTGTAGGCCCGTGGATGTCTCCTTGTGGCCCCGGGAGGAGCATGGGAGGGATGCACTCCTGGGCATTGCAGGGACCCGACCGGCACCTCGGCTGCCTTTGGCCACCCGGTGCCACCTCTGCCGAGCTGTCCCCCGCCCGGGCGTCTGCAAGGGCTGGGTACAGCCCTCCACAATTGACAGGCAGCGCTGTGGGATAAAAGTGCTGTGTGAGGGTGCTGAGCACCAATGGGGGCTGTGCAGCTGGGCTGGGTGTGTGTGTGGCTGCTGGGACGAGCATGGAGGGTGGTGCAGGGGCTCCCAGTGTGAGGCAGGTGAGGATTGGGATTAGTCGGGGTTTCCAGATAAGGGATTCATGTTCTTTGTGGAGCCACCTTGCTTACTGCAATAAGATTTGGTCTTAGGCCAGGTACTGGGCTACCTCTTTCTCCTCAGAGCAGGAGAATGCCTTGCCCAAGCCACAGCTCAGAGTGGCTCCCTGTGTTCTCTCTAGGAATGGCTACAAGTTCCTCTACTGCTCGGCCAGGGCTATTGGCATGGCCCACATCACCAAAGGCTACCTCAAATGGGTCAATGAGCAAGGCTGTGGCCTCCCCATGGGCCCCATGCTGCTTTCCCCCAGTAGCCTCTTGTCTGCCTTCCACAGGTACTACTTTTTCCTGCACTTCCTGTATCGCTGGGGACAGCACCTCCTTCCCCAGCTTGACCCTGAGGGTTGTCCTGGCCTTAAACTGCTCTGCCCTCCTTGGTGCACAATGCCTTTCGTGGGAGGCAGCAGGGGAGCTGCCTGACCTTGCTGGAGCTTCACAGTGGAGCTTCTGATGCACAAAACCCCTTACCCTTCAAATCACTTCCCTGAGCCCCTGACAGCTTTGGTGCCCATAGTCCTGGCCAGCTGATGCCATTGTGAATGTGTCTCTTGTGCTGCAGGGAGGTGATTGAGAAGAACCCAGAGGTGTTCAAGGTCCCCTGCTTGACAGACATCCGAAAACTGTTTGCTACAAAGTTTCCCTTCTACGCAGGTTTTGGGAACAGGCCCAATGTAAGTGTGTCTCCAGGTGTGCAGGGAGGGCTCAGGCTGGGTGGTGGTGCCTTCCTGCAGCTCTCATGCCATGCTGGCCTTCCTTGGGCAGGATGTCTACGCTTACAAGCAAGTGGGGCTGCCAGAGAGCCGCATATTCACAGTAAACCCTAAAGGAGAGCTGATCCAAGAGCTCTCAAAGAACCAAAAGTCAACGTAAGCAAAGTGTTTATTCCTCTGCATCTTCGGGATGACCCAGCTTTGATGCAAAGAAGCATCAAACAAACACCCAATGACCCCAATGTAACTTCTTTCTTACCCCCACAGGTATGAGGAGCTGTCGGAGCTGGTGGAGGTCTTCTTCCCTCCTGTGGGACAGAGGGAGAGCGCTGCTCTGGTGTCCTCAGAGCGCAGCCACTTTGCCTACTGGAGACCTCCACTGCCTGATGATGACTTGAATGGCTCGCCCTAACCCCATCCCTGTGGAGACCTGACCCAGAGTCTCCTGCATGTCCTTTGCCAGGACTAAATGCTCCAGATGCACCTCATCCTCCCTGTTTGCTGCTTGGGATTTTGCACTTGTAATAGAGGTCATGACACCCCTTAGAGGAAGCCTAAGGGGGTAAGAGAGAGTTCTGACTCTATAAAAACTCCAGTTGCTAAACACAATTTCCTGAAAGTTGGGTCTCTTCTGGTGTTTGTAGCTCCTCTAAAGCCTGGCTCTTTTTTAAAGGTGGTGGTTGTTCACTGTTGTATTTGTTGATGAGCCTCTGATATAGCTGTTACCACCTTTGGTATGACCAGTGTTCCAGACAGTCCAGCTACCTGCAGTTTGGTAGCTGAAACTGCCCACCAACTTGTAAAGGTTGATGGAAGATGCTGGGGTTTTGAGTGTTCTGAACAAAACCCAATAATAAATAGTGCCTTAATCAAGGCTGTCTCTTGTGTGCTGCAGCCCTGTGCACAGAAGTGGGAGCCAGGCTCCAAGTCCTTTCTAAAATGTGATTGGTCTTATTCAAGCATCCTACCAAGTGGGTCCTGGGGGTGATGGGATCTGCTTCTATCAAGACCAGGTTGCTAGGAGCCTCATCCAGCCTGGCCATGGATGTTCCTAGGGATGGGGCATTCACAGCCTCTGTGCACAGCCTGGGCCTGTGCCTCACCACCCTTAGTGTAAAATACCAGTTTTCTAAGATACAACCTAAATTGACCTCCTGCAGCTGAAAGCCATCCCCCCTTCTCCTCCCACCACAGGCCCTGTTGAACACTCTGTCCCCATCTTTCCTAAGAGACCCTTCAAGTCCTGCACAGTTGCAGTGAGGCCGCCCCATAGCCCTCTCTTCTCCAGGCTGAGCATCCCCAACTCTCTCTTGGGAGGTTACAAAGTAAAACATAAGCAGAAGCACTGCTGGGCTCCTTCCTCCAGTCTGGCATCTACCTTCTCCCTCCCTGACCCGTGTGTGTGTGTCATCTTGTCTGCCACTTCTGGAAGCCATACAAGTCATTCTGATCCTGGAAACCTCAGCAAGAAATACTTTATTTTTTTCCTTTCCAGTACAAATAGTTTTTCAGCTTTTAAAATCTGAACAAATAGACATGGTTTAAAAAACAATAGAACACAGTCTTTTAACAGGATCAGTTATCAACTGCTTCAGAAAGCTGCCCATGCAAGCACAACCCCATGGGCAGCATTTCCTTACTCTGCAAGCAATTTTTAAAAAATGCCCATTTTGTACAAAGTTCCTTTCATTTTTTAAACATGAATAGCTGAGAACTGAAATAACAAACTGTCCATAGCTTCAAGTGACTAGTCAGGAATAGTCCAAACATAGCACCATTTTCCGGAAGGTCAGACTTCTTCCTTGTCCTAGTTTTGTTATGGCCAGTTCTGGCTCCCTCTTTTCAGGGGAAGCTGTTCCTGTTCACCCACTCTAACCCAGCCCTGGCTGGGGAACGGGTAGCCTGGCCCTTGGCTTGGTTTTCTCTTTGGTTTTCTCCCTGCTGTGAGGGGATGGAAAAGGGGCTTAGGCAGGATGCTCCCCCTGCAGGGCGAGGGCTCCCCTGGCCCATCACAAAGTACTTAGGGTTGCCTTGAGACTCCTTCCTTAGGCTGGAGGAAAAAATAAGTTCTGTTGTCTAAGAGCCTGTTTTGCAGGATGCCCAAAGGCAGCAGGAGGTTGTTCCTCAGCTGGAGAAGTGTCTCAGCAGCTGGAGGGTAGCTCCAAACCAGCAACGCCCAGAGCAGTGAGAGAGAATTCTGGTGCTGTGAGCACCTGGCCGGGGTGGGCAAGTGGTGAGGGGGAAATGTGTCCTCTCTATGCTCCCACAGCTTGTGCTCCTCTGGAAGGGGACTGAGCTTTTACTGCCTCAGGGGAACATGGTGTGGCTACTGGACTCAGTGATCCCTGTGGTCCTCCCTAAACTGGAAGCATGCTTAAGGGAGCTCACCCAGATTTTCTGGGGGACAAAAGGTGTGCAGATGCATCTCTGCTGGGAGCAGCTGCTGATTTGTGCTAGTCAGAGCACAGAGCTGCTCCTTCATGCAGTCAGGGGGGATCAAGGAGGGAATGATGGTGATGAGCAGGGACAGCCTGCTGAGGGTGACAGGCACTGCGTGAGAGCCAAAGGCTGGCTGGTTTGGGAGGGTTCATGAGCTACAATGCTGAGAGAAAAGTATGTTCCTCTTCTATAAAGTGCCAGAGTTACTTGGATGGAGGCTCTAATTTCCTCCTCATCCTAGTAATGAAGTCTCCACTGGCAGATCAGCGGAGGGTGCTCATGGTGGGCTCCTAGGGAGAGGTGGATTCTGTGTGCAACAGCTCTGTAGGAGAAGGCTGGAGCAGCTCAGGAACATGGACAATGTTTTCCAGCCTGCCTATTCCTCTGGGAAACCAGAGTCAAGCTGGGTAAATGATGTGGGTTTTTCATTCTGAGATGAGGACAGGCCTCCAGAGGTGTTCTCACAGATGGCCTGCCTTGTTCCACATCGGTGTTGGTCCCAGCGCTACTGGCATCCCAGTGGGATCAGAAGAGCATGAGGAGGACGCAGGCTCCTGCTCCTCCACTGCTGCACTCTACACTGCTCCACACCCTGCCGCAGCTGGAACTCTCCTGCCTGGGATGAGATGATGGAGTTCACAGCTTAAGCAATAAAACAGGAGAGCCAGAGCTGGAGGACAGGACTGCTCTGTGCCCAGCTTGGTCTCTGCAGAGACCTATGGACACACCTCTCCTCAGGGAAGACGCGTGTTTTCCATAACCATCATGTCAGTCCCAGGTGTAACCAGAGAGTCCAGCAAAGTGGGATTGCAAAGCACAGCAGCCCCCAGAACCATGGGGCTCTCTCCAAACACTGCTGCCACAGCTTTTAGGTACTCGGTGTGGGTCTTTGGAATATGGCAAAGGACATGAGGGCAGCAGTAGGAAACTGGAATCAGATGAGCACCATGACACAGAATCATTCAAAAATATACATACACATACCATATATATACATATATGCATATGTGTTTTCCTAATGCACACCCTCATATGCTCCATAAGGCATATGCATCTGCATGGAGGAGGGAGCATTATAAATGGATTTACCATACACAAGGAGGGCTGCCATCTCGGGGAAGGGAAGCCAGTTCCCGGAGGGACGTGTGAATACGTGTGTTCTTTGAAATCTACAATTCCTGTGGTGAGTTTTGTTCCCTGCAAGGAGCCCTGGCTCTGCTCAGTCTCTGGATTAAGATGCAGGTGGTCTTTAGGTCAGAGAAACTATTCCTCAGCTGATAACTACAGGGGTTTATTCTTCAAGAAATGATAAATCCACAAAAATAAAATGAAAAAATAATGTTTCTGCCTCCAGCTTACTCTTGAATTGTCCTTCTGGGGTCATCAGCCCAGGATCCAAAGCAACATCCCCAGCCAGGAGGCAGTGACACTGCTGTGCCAGGGTCAGGACAGTTGCTGAGCATCAGGAGGGGAGCACCAGCACAGTGGAGTTAAGAAGAAGTGGGACCAACAAGATTAAGGGGAAAAAAAATGTAGCAGCTTTTCATAAAAAAATTATCCCAAGAACTGTTGTCACATTGGAGTGAGTCTGTGTGATATAATTTAATCCTGTCCTTCACAGCAGGAGAAGGAAGACACATGGCATGACAGTGTAGCTAGTGCTGCCTTCTCTCCGCCTTCTCCTCCAAGTGGCCGACCTGCTCCGCCAGCTCAGAGACCTTGGCTTGGCAGTCAAGCAAGTTGTCCTTCAGTCCTGTTATTTCCTGAGAGTGGGCAGCCAGTGTCCCATTCATGTGGTCCATATAGTCCCACAGACTGCCCGTGTGTTTCTCCAGTTCCTCCCTGATGTCGTCCAGGCTGCCGGTGACGGCCCCCAGCCTGCCGCAGGCGCTCTCCACCCGCGCCACCCGCTCGTCGAACTGAGAGACCTCCTGCTGCAGGCCATGGGCCACGTTCTTGCAGGAGCTCAGGTCGCTGACAATCCTGGCTTTGAGTCGCTCCAGGTCTCCCTTGAGGTTCAGGACACGGCGGTTGCTGAAGAAAAGCTGGGAACCTTGGTCGTTGACTTTCTCCTGGATGGAGTGGACCTCATCCTCAATCTTCCGCTCGTGCTCATCTAGTGAGGAGTTGACATGTGTCACGGTGTCCGAGTACTGGGAAACGGAGTCCTTGAGCCCTGTCAGAGACTTGCTCACAGTATTCAGGTTGATCTTCAGCAAGGTGATCTCCCCTTGCAAAGCCCCTGATGCTTCCTCCTCGATTCGCCGCTGGATCTCCAGGATGGTGGCGTTTAGCTTGCGCAGGAGGTCGTAATTGCTGTCCATCCGGAGGAGCAGGTCCTGGTTCTTGTTCTGGCAGTCCTCAATCTCTGTCCGAAAGGTCTCCACGTCTTTGGAGGCAGAGGTGCAGCCCAAGGAGCAGGTGCTCTCCAGGGTGATGAGGCGATTCTGCAACGCCTCCAGTGTCTCATCTGTCCGTTTCCTCATGCTGGCAAGCTCCCCTTCCAGCACAGGCACCACTGCTCCATCCATGCCCATGGGAGAACTGACATTGTTCAGCTCCCCCACTATGGTCATGAATCTGTCCTCCAGGGTCTGCATTTTGTCTTCAAAGGCAGTTCTCATGCCATCCACCTCTGCCACCACTGTGCCTTTCATGCTGTCCTCTATACCAGAGCAGCAGCTCCCCGTTTCCCTCTCTGTAGCATTGAGCCTGGCTTCCAGGTCCTCGAAGCGCCCTTCAAAGAGGTTTCCTAGGGTGGCAGTGGAGATTTCTCCATCCAGGCGTGAGTGCAGGTTCTTCTGGGACTCGGAGATGCTGTGAAGGCCTTTCTCAAGGATGTTCATGCGATCGGTGAGGTAGTCCAGGTTGCTGCAGCAGCTTTCCACCACCGTCAGCCCTTGGATCTGGGTCTCCAGCTGAGAGATCTCTTTCTTGATCTCCAGCTCCTTCCCATCCAGCGTCTGCTGCAGC